TTTCTATCGCCTGAGCCGTCTCTATCTCGCGATCTGGTAGTCGGGGTTGCTTCTCTCGTGAGATTTCGATCGAACTTTACCACATATCCGACTACGTCATAGAGCGAGCCAGACCAGAACTCATTTCAGTTCTGGGTGTCGGCCCCAAATAGCAATAAATCCGCCACCACTAAATACCACAATCCACACAACGAGTGGTCCTTTTGCACACAACCTGTAATGACATCATACTGGACTTGATCTGTTAGTTGCTGGATTTTCTCCACCACGGTACAAACAGTATCGTTGAGGTCAGGTATGTTGCTTTCCAACTGCATGGGGTCGAACAGGAAACATCGTTTTGCATGAATATCGACGAAAAACGCGCCCCAGTGGTGACCAAGGTTGATTACGCGACGGCAGACTACAAACCTGGGGCGTCTGCTCCAAATCACTTCGCTATACGTAACTTTTACTCCTTGGTGTCAAAATAGTGGTAGCGGGGGTTCACTACTCCAGCATCTTGATACGTTTCCTTAAGCATGAACAGAGTGCCGACGATAGAACTTGAGTTCAGCCACCCATTCTCGCGAAATACCCAAAATTCAGCATCAAATTGGGTGTGGCGACCACCTCTCCATTTGCCAAGATTAATCTCTTCCACCGATGTTTTGAACTCAACCTAATACAAAGCATCCAATGTTAGTTCGATTCACTTGCTGTGTTGGACTGTTGATTTTGTGTGTCTTACCTTTGTTACATCTGTGCTGTCCTTAAAAGGCTCCACAACACTGGTTACTTGATACTCCACTTTATCGATCCAGTTCACCGTTGCCTGCGCATGCTGGAAAGTTTCTCTCGCGTTGAGAACCGCCACCATCAACTTCAACTGACCGTACGTCGCGCAACCGTAATCATCCCATCTCGCTAACAGGTCCTTATCATTCTTGGCATCGATCGCCTGAATGGCTTCAACTAATTTATCTGTTTGGGGGAAGGCTTTTGATGACAGGTACCGGTTGATCGATGTTGGAACGCCTAACAACTAACGCCCCTTTAATGCGCACAATGGGTAATCGTAGCTTATCCACAAAAGGCTTAGTGGTGATCCAGATTTACGGACCGAAAAGATTCTCCATATTGCTGAGCTTCACGGCGCGGGTCTTTCTCATTTCCATAACACGATTTTCAATAGATTGATCTTGATTCATCTCTTTTGCTGCTTCTTTCTTTTTTTCAGCTCGTCGTGAAAGATCCTTCCACTTAGATGGAGGACCAAACGATATTGGTGCTTCAGACGTTCCCGTGTTGATGAATTTTACACATTTTCACTTGATCTGTGTGGTTTCGATCGGAGTTTTGTTTTCTGGGTTTACTGCTTTTGAAACCTTCACAGCCTGAGGGGATACCTCAGATTGAGCCGAATGAGGCAAGTTTTCCGCCAGAATTTTGCTAACTTCTAGCCGAGATGCATGATCCACTTCAACTTGTCCATCATCAGGTAGGTTCGGCGACTGCAACTCAGCAAATGAGAGTTGTGACACAGTGACACTGTCTGGTACTGAAATCTGTGAAAGGTACGGGAAGCTCCCAGTTGAATCATCGCGGTTGTCGTTTTATCAGTGTCTTCAAACTCATGACCTGTAAATTCTTGTAGCTTTCCAGTCTGAAGGGTCGTCTTGAAACTCTTGAGGCATATCATTGCAAGGCGGTACGTTGAACTTGGCTGGATGGAGATGGTGTCTTTAATTTCATCTGTGACTCGTTTGCCGTTGCGGTACTTGACAGATTTATCCACAGGAGGAATCACCTTTATTGGAGGGCAATTGACTTGCTCAAGTCCCCCACAAGTCACTTCTCTTTCATCAATATTGTTGATCGAGCTCTGAACAATCCAGCGTAGGGAGAACGCTCGCATCGGAGGTATAACAGTTTCGTAATTTGCTTGTAGACGGACGTACACCACGTGGCGACAAGGTAGTAGGCAGGTCTGCATGAAGACACAGTCGCACATTGAATGGTGCGAGCACACAGCCGTAAGAATACAACCGAAGATAAATAGGAAAACCAAAAAATAACAAATTTCTTACCTTCATGTCGATTTCATGCTTGCCGCGTGTCGCTGGGTTTGTCGTAGTTGTCTTGCTTCCATCCACTTCAATTTCGTACAAAGCATTTACGCCCAGGGCCAGACTGTGCAGATTCTTCACCATGCGGAAAGCGTATTCACTTAACTGCATCGCGACAGCAGTAAGTTCTGGATCCTCCGCCATAGGAGGACGACTATCAACTCGGTGAAATTCTACAAGATCCTCTGCGTAGTTTTGTAGCGGAATTAACATTGATAGAAGATCGTCAATGGTAAACGTGCCAATCACAATCTCCTTCACACGGCCGTATTTAGACTCCAGCCTGTTGTTGGTGTGGTACTGCAAGTGAGACACACCGCCACGCTTAAACATGACCCACTCATCGATATTGGGATCCCAGTGCTTCATGAAACTGCTGTATAACAAATTATCTTTGTCGTTTCCAAGTGTTTCCAGTAATGCCACTTTGAGATTATCGTACTTGACTTGGGATTCTGCATTGACCAAGCCCTTCATAATTACCTTGAGTTTCTTGGTGGCCGTCCGGTCGACGTCCCCCAATCGGGAACACTGTTTTTTAGCCAAGTCTTCACATGCCAGCGACATAATAGCTGTCTAGCTTGGGGCCAAGTGTAGTGGGCCTATGCCTCACTAGTTAGCTTACATAGGAAGCGTAGGTTTTCCTAGATAGTATAGTGTATACACGTACCGTGTATACAGTAAGACTAGGTAGGAACTAGATAGGAAAACTGTTATTTTTGTTTTAAAGTGTATTTCCTTCCTAAAGTAATGTTTCCTTTCTATACTGATTATCAAATATCTAAGGGACTGTCAGCGAGTGGCTGACAGTGATCCGCATCGCTGATTGGTAGAGGTGTGGCGCACTCTACCAATAGGATCCCTTCAAATGCAGTCTTGGTGTGTTCACCCACCAAGACAGGAAACCTCTAACTCTAGCCGGTTAACGTTATGGTTAGCGTTTCGTGTAACCCCGTTACACCCCCCCCCGTTAAACGGTCACAACACGGCAATCCAAGCTTTGACGAGTCGGTCAAACTTCCGAGAGAATTCTGCGCTCATTTCGAAATGAGCGCTGCACAGCGAACACCAGTGTCATCGCCAGTGTCCGCATCGACCGTAGTGTCGATGCCAGCACCTGTGCCAACGTCCGCGTCGACCTCAGTGTCGACGCCTGTGGTTGACTCCGCGTCGGTGCCTGCTTCCGCACAGTGTGTGTCGGCGGTAACGCCGGCACCTCTGAGTGGAACGACAGAGAACTTCTCTGTCAACAAGTACTTCGAGCTTCACGAGAAGAAGCTCGAGCTCGAAGCGAAGCAGCGCGCTGGAGCCGCAAAGCCAGACAGGCCTAGAACTGTCTTCGATGGTTCGTCGGTCCTCCCGACCGACGGTGGTATCCCCTTAGACTACGATATGGAGAGCTTGAAGACGAGGGCACCTCGTCTTCCATGTCACATGGGTCCAAACCCGCGGCTGGGACTCGCCGTCCCCGTGAAGACGATTCGGACGCTTCTTCGTCGAAGCGTCCGCGAAGTGCTAGTGATGCAGTGCCTTCCAGACTGGAAGGACTTGCCATCACCTCGGAACAGCGTGATACCACGCGCACTGACGACTCAGTGTGCGAACCTTGGATGCTGTCCGAGTGCCATCAATGGCCGGTTCGGGGCTATGGTACCTTCGAATGAGATACCGTTATACGTCGACAATCGAATTGTCGACGACGCTGAAGCTGCCTCGAAGCCCTTCGAGCCGACGACGAACCCAAGTCGAGATTACTACATCTCGCTCTGTCACGAGCCCCGGTACTGGAGCTCGAAGAAGGCTTCGGGGCGAAGCAGAGTGCCCGAGTGGCAGGCACTCTGTCAAAGCTGGAACCAGTTTGTTGCGAACTTCAACAAAGATCCGGCAGGTTACCGCGAGCAGATTGCTTCCGCTCGTGAGCGCTTCATGAGGTATTCCATTACTTCTGTCGTCCAGCGCGTTCACGAAGGTTCCGTGAACGCGAACATTCCTTGTGCAGTACCGGAGGGCGTTCATTGCCCGCACTGTCCCACTGGTGCTCCCCGCGTCAGCGAGAGAGACCTCCTCGGGTACACGACTAACCGTGTACCTGCAATTGTGAAGGAGTTACGTGCTAACCTCGCTTGCACGCCTCACCGTCCTAGTCCTGTGTCTGAGCACAACACTCCGCGAAAGCGAAACACTGCACCTCGCAGTGTTACGCCTCCAGTCCGTGGTGGCCTTCGTACGCCTTCACCATTTCCGGAACGTCCGCCATCAGGACGTTTCGGGGAAACCACGTATCTCGAAGGAGACCCGATTGTCTCCAACGAATACGAAAACAACCGGACCTCGGTTTGTCTTCGGACTGTTATGGACTACAATCCGATCCACCTCGCGGTGGATCGTACCGCGGACAGAGTTATGCTTCTGTCCGCGGTGGTGGACGCTCATCATATGGTCAACACCAGGTTTACCACAGCCTTCAGTCGCTCCACGTTCGCGTGGAGGCTCTTGAGAGCGTTCAGGCTGCTTTTTCAGATCGCTGAGCTGAAGCAGCAACTGAACTTGCAGAACGCTTACGTGACCGAAGCCGCTCAGACCACCTCAAACATCCGTTTTGAGATGTCGGAACAAGTTCGCTTTCTCCGTGAGAAAGTGGAGAGGCTTGAGGATAAGCTGAGGTCGCGCCGCGCGTCGTCGTCGGCGAGTCATCACGGCTAGATGACTCAGGCTGCACATAGGGTGGAGTCTCATGTCAGAAGGTAGTTCCAACGTGTATGGGCTGCCGTGTCGTTCAGCCACCGTGAACGGGCCGATGAAGCGCGGAGCTAGCTTGCTTGCTCCGAGTCCAGAAACTGCACGTGTAGGCAGATTTTGAGTAGCTTACAAAACCAATGAACCAACTTTGAATTAATTTGTCTTGCCCGTGTCCACATTGTCTGCGTTCAGGTTCTGCCTATCCGCAGATGCTGCAATTGCATCTTGTACAAACAGAATGACAGCTTGTCGTTCCTGGGCAAAGACCATTGCTTGAGAGCTGAACACCGGGTCCAGCCATTGACCTTGTCCGCGTCTGTGCCCTGCACAGATCCGCCACTTGTGTTCACATCAGTCCCAGACTGTGCGTGGCTCTACAGTGTCTGTGCCCCGCACAGACACTGTAAAGACACACGATCCGTATCAGCCGTATTCTGCGGTTGTTTAAGCGCAGCCGTAGATCCTCCCCCACTTAACGAGGAAGCCACCGCCCCGAGCGTGCTCGGAAGGCGTGGATGCCGCATGGCATTCACGAAGAACGGTGTATGCCCAGTCGAGGCATGCGCCGCGTTGTTGATGGCCAACCCGGCCATCGGCAAGTAATCGCTCCAGTTGTGGAACGACTGGGCGTAGCTTTTCAGCAAGTCCACGAGCCCGTGGTTCACGCGCTCGGTTTGCCCGTCCGTCTGCGGATAATCCGCAGTCGACATTGAGAACTGCATTCAAAGAAGTGTGAACACTTTTTGTCAGAAACGCGCCGTGAAGAGCGGATCGCGGTCCGACACAAAGACGTTGGGTATACCATGGTGTTTGAACACCATGTCGACGAACAGACGTTCCGTCTGTACGGAG